TTTCCAGTCAACAGCTACACGAATCTTTATCCGCGACGAAGCCGACCCGAGCGACCCTTCAAGCGCCTATTCTCTACCACTTTCTTGGTTCCACGCTTTCCAGGGTGTCAAAACGGTCGTGGCAACATCTTGGCCTTGGATTCGCAATAGCGGCGTTGTCATTCCCATCATCGACTCGCAACCCGTCCTCCAGCTGGATCTCGATGCGACCTCGCCCACCTCTTTCTTTGGAAAGTTGCTCGACAACTTGGACGAGGAGCTTCAAACCGAAGACACTCTTATGGCTATGTCAACTAGGCAATCGTATCAGCATGCTATCGCCGTTCTCAACTGGGCACACAAATTGCCTCATCGCGGTGCCGCCCTCGCTTTCCCCGCCACCGTGTCAAAGCGGTTCATTGAATTGCTAGAAGAGCGTCGACCGCGCGCCCTGACGATTCTTGCTTGCTTCTTCGCGCTGCTGAAAGGATTCGAGTCAGCAGTGTGGTGGCTAGATGGTGTTGCTCGGAGAGAAGTCATGGGCATTGTCTCCCAGTTTGAAGCTACAAGCCCTTGGTGGGAGCATCTTGAGTGGCCCGTGCGGATTGCACTCTACAAGAACAACATCATTCCACCAGAAGTCTGGGGTTCAGACTGGGTTACCGAGGAAAGCAAGGCAGAAAAGGGCCACAACATGACTGCCGAGTCCTTTGTGAACCACATCGAAATTCTGACTGGTGTTTTTCAAAAAGCACAGCAAATCCCGGTGACGGGCATCACAGTCCCGGCGAACGCAGTGTAAGCGCAACAGCTGGCTATTACGCAGACACACTCGACGTATGGGATCACGGAAACTCCAGATCGGCGAATGCTTAGATTGGCCGATCTTGACGGCACGAGAAGTGTACATAAGAATGGAATGGTAGGAGTTACGGATAGTAGGAGTTTCATGTGGCAAGGCTGCGGGTGGGTAACCTCTGGACGGAAGGCATTACGCATAGACAGGCCACTTTTGTTTCGACTTTACTTGTCTCCTTGCGGACCACAGGCCGTTCAGAGGAAAGGACGAGACGAGGGTCTATCATCATCACAACACATATGGGTCAGGATTTTATGAGGGACTGTGGTCAAGCATTTTCGCGGGAATGGATGGGTACGGTGTTTTTTCTTTCTTTCGGATATCATATAACGGCTGATAGCGGGGTTCTACAGCCAGGACAGCTCAGGCAGAGCATATCTTTGACACATTTCTAGCATATGAATTTGATGACATCACGGATTGGACTTTTTTGACAAATGAAAACAAGGCCGGACAAGTTTTCCCTGTGACGAGGGACCACCCCTGAAAAGAGACGAACAGACGTTGGATTGTCCCGGCCATGTGCTTGCCTAGCCAAATATGCCATCTGCTTGCATACAAGATTTGACAGCTGCTTGCCGGTAGTTAGATGATGTTGTTTGCTCAGTTCGGACGAGTTTTCCCGACACGCACTCTTTTTGGCGATGCCGAGGGGCGGCCAAGTCAACGTTCATGCGCGCCATGTGATTGACGTCTGCCGGCCGGCCGGTCCTGTGCCGCACCTTTCCAAGGTTCTCTCTCTCTCTCTCTTTTGCCGCAAGCTCTTCCAGTAGAGTGTTTCTAAGGCAGGTCTTACCGCTGGTATCGAGGCTTACTGAACCAGGATCCGTCTTTTCTTTTTCTTAGGGGCTGTTCCATCTTAGCTTTTTGGTTACGGTAGATCTGGCCGATCTGTGTTTCTTGCCCCCTCTAGGCTTCTCTCGACCGTTGTGCCCTGTCTGTCGGGTGTCTGTTGCCGAGGTTCCCTAGGCCCTGGCCTTCTTCAGAGAAGCGAGGTATGGATTCCTTTCACTTGAGACGAGGGGGCCTTTGTGTGTACACCCACTGTTGATGAGAGGAGGTCCTCAAGCATGTGGGTGCCCGAATGAAGGGAAAGTTGGGAGAAAAAGTTGGAGTTGGCTGACAGGTGCTTGACAAATGACAGGCACGGGTTGAAAGTAGTCTTCTAACCTGAACTCTGGGCATGTGGATATAAATAGTATACTGTCCATTTATGGACAAGAAGAGAATCATCGGGGAAGCCTCCCCGCTTCGATACTCCCGACCGGGAAGGAAAAGCGGGAAAATGGGGCTCAAGGACGTTGACTTGTTGTCGGGGCCGCGGAGCGCCGCAGGAGAGGCGGAGAACGGGGATAGTAGGGGAATGGAGGCAAGAGTCGAAACACAGGAGGTTCCTCTCCGCGTAAAGCTACCTACCTCAGGGAAGTGGAGGTGACGACGCCTCCGGCATTGCTTGACTCGGGGGGGACCGGAGGACGGGGGTTTCGGTGTGGCGAATGGAGGTACCCCCGAAGGCGGTTGGATAGTTGGTTGCGGCTGTGGATAGGTAGCGAGCGGCCAAGCGGTTTAAGCGGGCATCGGGGGGGGGACCATCGGAGTCGGTTGTTAGGTTGGGCTCCGTGGTCCTTCGGCATAGAGTGGGATGAATCATTTGACCCGCGGGTGAACCTGCGAGGAAGCAACGAAGATCTGCCGTGCGTGACTGGGCTTGACTTGCGGCGCATAGCGGTGGTCGTGGGGGTATGTCTCGGGAATGAAGGAGGTTTCTATGCCGAGCTCGTTCTGTTGGAGAGTAGTTTACGTATTCAAGAAATGTTGAACCCCGTCCCTGCGACTTGATACTCCCGTCAAGGTGTGTAGATTTCAAGTGCCGGGTGATATTTTCGGTCTTGTCACGACGGGCATAGGAAGGTTGACTTTGACAGTGGGCTGTGAGCAGAACCCCAGAACCTCGGGGTTGGGTTTGTATCAAATGGCGATGTTCGCTCGGCAGTGGTTCCAATGTTTGTCGTCTTGGTTTTTAGAGTTTGCCCAAGCTTGGGACGTCAGTGGACGAATCGTACTTTGGATTTTTCCGGCGGTTAGGGATAGCCTCATGTAAGAGAATGGATGAGCGGCCAAACCAGTTCAGTCATAGTTACTTTGGTGAAGTAGTTCCGTTTTGAGTGTCCTGTTCGTGAACCTGCATGACCACGTGCATTTAGAAAACCGTGATCAAGAGACGTTCATCCTTGAGACGTCAGTGAAGAGGGCAGCTCGGGCTTTTGGGCCCGGCAGGAGGGATGACCATGGTGTAAGGATTTGATGACCGGATTCGCCATGGGGCTGAGCAACGTCCGATTTGAGTGTTCTGTTCGTAAACCTCGAGTGCGACCACGTGAATTGAGCTGGAACAATAAGAGAGCAGGTTCTGAGATTACCAGTGGACGACTCGTATTCTGTGTTCAGGTAAGGATGTATTATCGCGAGAGTTGAAAATCAGTCAGCTAGATACAAGCGTTTTGGTTCGAGTGTCCTGTTCTTCGTCTTGGGAGACCGCGTGCGCGGAAACCTTGGTCAAGAGGCTTTGATAGTTCAGCAGCATTCCTGACAGCTTGCGAAATCATTAGCTACCGCTGTAAAAGCTTGCAGTCAACGTCAATTCTGTCGACGGCGAGCTTGCTGAGACCAAGCCAAGTTTGGGTTATCGGTATCTCTTGAAGGGCTTCCTAAATCTTAGCATGAACCACTCCCAGTAACCCAAGATCCCGCCGGCAGTGAGTGTCTCAATCGAGTATGCCTAGGCAGAGTTGTCCCTCGCTCATTTCACGCCTCAGCATCCCGACTCTCCTTTCTCAGACTGAGAGAACGGGATCCGGAGGCTGGTCGTATTGGGAAGGTCGCCTATTTGTTTACCCGGCCCCTTTCCCCCATAGCTACCATACGGACGAGATGCTACTCGGAAGACATCCAATGCCCGTAGAAGACTGCCTTGACAGTTGTCAACTCACTAGGCTAGGTTCATCTATTGATCTAGTGCCCTCGACAACAACTACCACGGCATCGAGAAGCTTCCATGGAACCGGTTGTCACAAGCCAACCGGTTTCACTGCCAACATCATCCCGCATCTTCGATGAACTGCAGGTTGAGAAAGAGAAAGACATCATCTAGTGGGGTAACAATCGTGGGGTAAAGACGAAAAAAAACTTTAACAAAGTGATAGCCAGCCAGCCGCCCCAGGATCATGAAGTTTCCACGAATCTATTCTCGAAAAGAGCCGGAATCCGGGGCTAGTGGTTTTGTTCTGGGGCAACTTGACGATGCATCATTGGCGCGCATCCCATCGTTGGAGCCCCACGGGCCACTGCTAATCTGTTTTTTTTGCGGCTGCCCGCTATTGCTGCACGTAGCTGACCTGCCGACATCACGATCCACGGCAAATATTCGAAAAGAAGCAGCGAGGTCACAGTCACACACAGTGACACATGGTGCGGGATGGGCTGCAGCGACGAAGCGAGCCGAGTCCCGTTTCCCGGGGTAAAGTAGTGTGCTCCGTATTGGGCGAGAAATTGCTGCCCTCGTGACGATGTTGCACCACCCCAGCTTGGTCAAAGAAGAAGTTAGCGCCGACGGCTGTCATCTCAACTCGGATGGTATTCCGATCAACACATCACACTCTAACTTTCGCTATTGGATATCTGAATGTTCATAGGGTGCGTCGAATGTTGGTCTGAAGTGATGATAAGGATGAATATCTGATCATTTACCGATTGATTGTGTTTCGACAATAAATGAATTATGAGGCAGAGAATTGCCCTTCTCCGCGTTCTCGATAAGCCCGGAGAATTTGATAAGTCGGACATGAGGATGGACATTCGCTAAAGCTGCGCTCGGGGATAAGTTGCAGGCGTTCGGATCATGGCTCCGGACCAAGCTTATTTCAACATCCCCCCTGTCAAAATGTCAGCACGAAAAACCAAAATAAAGAAGGCTCTTCCGTCCTAGCCGGAAAGCAGCGATAGCCGCCATCGATTCTAGTGCAAACCTTGGGAAAAGGGTACCACGTGTGAGGCAAAGCTCGCGCCAACGGCTTCCGAACACAATGTTTCCCTTTTCCTCTTCCTCTTTCAAAGGGCGATCTCGGAAACTGAAACAGACCAGGGATGAACCTGTTCAACCTGTTCAACCTGTCATCTCGGGTACGCAAGCCACTCCTCCGACCAGCTCGGGCCTTCTCTTATGACCCGCACTTTTGGCTGACGACTTTCCGGAGTGGTAGACGGCACTTATATTGAAAAGAGCGGGCTTATTGACGCCGAAGAGGGCGGCTGGATCACCTGAGTGCCCGCTACGCCAGAGAGTTGAGGGGCGCAGCTCGCTTGCTGCCCTCCCAGAGTCCCAGGCTCCCAGCAGCAAACGAAGGGGGTGGCCTAGGTTCGCCAAGTTGGGCCAAGTTGACAGAATGGGCAAGAAAGGGTGGGGAAAATAGGCCATGATTGGAGGAGTCGCCAATTCTTCCCTGACCAAGGAGTTGCGCGATGAAACGTCAAGCTCTCCACAGCCAACTGGGAAGGACGAGTAAATCGAGTATAGTCTAGTCAAAAGCTGGGTTGGGTTGCTTCTTGTTGGCTGTGGCTGTGGCTGGCCGGGCTGGCAATTGGCTTTGGCAGTGTTTGGTAAGCAAACAGAAGCGGTTCGTCCCTTCTCTGCCGTAGCCGAGTACTGTAGTGTAGTACAGAGGATGGACTGGGCAATATGGATGAAGCAGACGCATGCCTGTCGGCTCCTCTTTGTCTTGTTAGTCTGACGGGTGTTGTGACCGGGGGAGGCTATACCAGGGTTACATTTCGTCTGGTGTCGCCTGCTGATTGCTGGTGAGTATTTGCTTCCGGTGACTATTGAAGCGGGGATTTCCAAGAGATGGGTTCGTAGGATCCCGTCAATTAGACGAAGGGACGGGACGGGTCTGTCTAGCTGATGCTCCGGAAAGGGGGCACCAGGAAGAGAGAGGTGGATGAAGGAGTATATACCACGCTTGGGAGCAGGAATTTCACGAAGAAGAAGAGAAAGAGAGGGAAGCTTTACTCGTTCTTTGCCAGTCTTCTTCTTTACGCTGAGAGGGGCCTTTGCTGTCCCCCTTTCTCTCCATTCACTTTGATCAGAGAGTTCCGATACTAGCACCATCGTCATCGTCGATCGATTGTCGTCGCCCAAGATGCTCGCCTCCCTCGCCTCCGTCTTCCTCCTCGCCCTCTCCACGGCCAACGCCGCCCTGACCTACAAGGGTGTCGACTGGTCCTCGACGACCATCGAGGAGAAGGCCGGCATCAAATACAAGAGCAGTGCCGGCACCTCCCAAGCTCTCGAGACCATCTTCAAGAACGCCGGCGTCAACTCGGTCCGCCAGCGCGTCTGGGTGAACCCTTCCAACGGCGACTACAACCTTGACTACAACCTCGCCCTCGCCAAGCGCGCAAAAGCGGCCGGCCTCTCCGTCTACCTCACCCTGCACTTCAGCGACACCTGGGCCGACCCGACCAAGCAGGCCATCCCGTCCGGATGGCCCTCTGATATCGAGAACCTCAGCTGGAGGCTCTACAACTACACCATGGACGTCAGCAATGCCTTCCAAAAGGCCGGCGTCCCGCCCGCCATCATCTCCATCGGAAACGAGATCCGTGCGGGTCTGCTCTTCAACACGGGCAAGACGTCCAACTGGTACAACGTCGCCAAGCTCCTCAACTCGGCCGCCTACGGCATCAAGGACTCGACCCTGAGCCCCAAGCCCAAGATCATGATCCACCTCGACAACGGCTGGGACTCGAACCTCCAGGCCAACTGGTACACCAGCCTTTTTGCCCAGAACGTGCTCAAGACCACCGACTTTGACATGATGGGCGTCTCCTACTACCCCTTTTACGGATCCGGCGCCACCCTTGCCGCGCTCAAGTCGAGCTTGTCCAACTTGGCCTCCAAATGGGGCAAGGAGATTGTCGTCGCCGAGACCAACTGGCCCACGAGCTGCCCCAGCCCTGCGTACGCTTTCCCGAGCGATCTCAAGAGCATCCCCTTCTCCGCTGCCGGCCAGACGACCTTCCTGAAGAAGGTTGCCGAGGTTGTTGCCGGTGTTAGCAACGGGAAGGGTCTCTACTACTGGGAGCCCGCATGGTGAGATTCTCTTAATTCATGTTTACTTGTCATAACATCTACTAACAAATTACAGGATGAACAACCAGGCCCTCGGCTCTAGCTGCCCCTCCAACACCCTGTTCGCGTACCCGGGTACCGCCCTGTCTAGCTTGGATACCTTCAAGAGTATCTAAGAGGGCGTCTTTCCACAATTGATGACGGGATACCCAGGAGTAGTGTGTGGAGGGAGGATTGTTTATGTTGACATCAGCTGGTCTCACAGTCGCTGGAGAGCCTTTTCTTCGAGATGGAGACTGCGTAAATATCGTTTACTTTCAGCACGTACATATATTTAGCGTTGTTCGTACATAGTTGAGCCAGATGAAGCATGAGCCCTGGCGGTATATAAGCAATCTTTATCAGTTCAATCACGATGGCCGACGGCATCTCACTCATTCTGTATCGATGCACAAATCTCTTTGAACGGTTTATCAAGGTCTGCTATGTTATGAACCAAGACTACATGGACTTATCTCATACCATTTATTAAATCACCTCCAAATGGCCAGGGGTATCTGGGTACCAAAGATGATCATTTCAGGGTACTTTCTGCTCTTAAGGATCTCGCACGGTACTTCTGCATCTGAACACCGTGGCAGAAGATAAGTCTCATAAATCTATTTATATCTCAAAAACATCATTTGGAGCTCCGACATTGGTAGGTGGATCTATCTGCTCAGGGTGATCGATCCTATGTACGTCTTGCAAGACGTAGTCTACCATTTTGCACATCTTGATAAGGCAGGCGGCTTGAAAGGACTTGGCCGATTAACGAGTTCCGTCATGGCATCGAACTCCCAAGAGAGATGCATATACAAAATCGAAAGATAAGACCCTCTGACAACAATTACAATCGTCCTTCAATTCTAATCTCAATTCACAACAGCAAGTAAAAAGAGTTCACCCCCCCGGTGCCGATTTAGGGGCTACATCTCTTGGCGCTCATGATGGGATTTGAACTTGCTAAGCCTGTCGTCGGGTAAGGCTGGTTGGCGCGAATAATTCGTTGACCGTTAAACCACTCCACCACCCACGCCGCAGTTTGACCTGACCCCCGACCTAGAGTGCGCCTGCTGTGCTGGTGACGGAACTGGAATTGACGAGACCTATATGGTTCTTTTCTCTGGTGTATATCCAGGCTGGGTGGGGATAGAATTGATCGGACGGAAGTTTGTGACCTGGGTGGCAGATTGACAACCTCAGGTAGGCATGCTGTCATGGGGAGGCTCGGTTAGCGCCATCTACCTTGCATCGGCGTCACCTTCCCGGTTCTATTGCTCCAGACGAAGGGAAGAGGTTCTGATTTTTCATTGATTGGTGGATACATAACAATACATCAAGCTAGCGATCCTCATATCCGAGAACAAAATATGTGATGATCAGGCTTCTGTCGACTCTAGTAGATGGTAACACACTGCTCCTGACGATCAGAAAACGGGAATCAACTCAGTCAAGAACACTGTGGAAAAAGTAGTGTGAGCCCGGGTACAGAGTAGAGGCCGGACCATGTCATGAAGTCGATGACACGTTTGGGACTCGTGGTGGACTCTTGCCTCGTACTAGTTTCCGAGTTACCTTTCCTTAGAAGCTCTAGGCCACGAGTCTTCCTATTTCCATGTCGGTAACCCCAACAAACTCCAAATTCTCCCCTTCACTGTCCGGAATATCCCATTAACGGCTACTTCCGAGAACTTAAGCTCGATGCCCGATCCTCCGGACCTTATTCTCCTCGCCAAAAGACTTGCGTAAGTTCAGGTTGCCTCCGAAATCTTTCATCACATAACTCGGGCAAAGATCACAAAACAGCACATCTTCAAGGGAGCGTGACGGTCATCTGATACCCAACGCTGTAGAATTTGAACCCTTGAAGGGAGCCTGGGCCCGAGCCTGGATCTTTGCTTCGGCCTTGGCAGCAACCTAAGACATTCCCAGGCCTGGACCGCGAAAAAGCTGTCTGGACGACCCAGGGAACCGGTCAGTCCTAAAGCTAGGTATATGAGAACGTTTCACATTACTCCCTTAGATCCGACTGCCTTTGTGTCAAGGTTAAATCGCCGATCCCTTCCTCCAGATAGTACACAATACTGAGGGTCTAGTCTGAATAGGAAGCAAGAAACTTGGACCGGCACCTCGAGCTGGTCTAGTGTTGACCTTGGGACCCATACGGCCGGTCACCCCTCTCTGGCAAAAAGGACTGGCATATAGACAGAAGGAAACATACGGCATGAAAGAAAAGACAGGGATGCAACCAAGAGACAAGAGTAAATTCCAGCAATATTCAAGCAAAACATGCCATTTCTGAATTATCACTCACTTTTGACCGCCATTCACTACCCATCCAGCCCATTCTCCTTCCTCCACTCTCTAATCCGAACGAGCAGCTTCTCCCGGCGCGCAAGACCTTGGGGACCCCAAACGCCTTCCTTCGTAGGATAGAATTCATCGAAGCGGGGCTTACCATCGTCCGCAACCTCGACGAACGGAAGTTTACTGCGCATAAAGATGTAGACATCCGGACCGCCCAGCAGCGCAGGGGCGTCGAGGGTGCCGACGCGGAGGAATTTCATCAGGGGGCCTGTACCGTCGTAGTTGCTCCAGACGGGCGTGAGACAGATGGAACAGCGAGCAATGTGCTGAGGGGCGCCCGAGTCGGCGGGGACGGGGAGGATCACGGGTGAAGGGATATCTGCCTGGACGCGGCGTTTGCCGGCATCGTCAGTATCATCATCGCCCTTGCCCTTGTTCTCGCTCGTCCCGTGAACATTGTCGGCGGGCCTGGACTGCTGATGCTGCCTGGGAGTCCAATCATCAAAGGCAGACTCCGGGAACGACGCCAGCGGCTGCAGCAGCGAGGCGGACGAGGAGGACTTGCTCGGGAGGAGGGTCACCTCGTCTCCCTCGACGACGGCGTTGAGGGCGAAGGCGGTGCCGGTCTCACGCTGGCAGGAGGTGCAGTGGCAGCAGTGGACGACCATGGGCGGGGCAGTGAGGGAGTATCGGATGTTGCCGCAGGCGCAGCCGCCGGTGAGGGGGAAGATGGAAGGGTCTTTTTCGGCGGTGGAGTGAGACATTGTGGTGTTTGTATGAAAGTTTCTTGTTGACTCGTTTGTGTGGTTCGGCTTTCCCCTTTTCTCGACGGTTGTGGCCCGTTTCGGTCGTGCGTAGGTGGAGAGACCGGGTAGTTTGCGTCCCGGGTGATCAACGATAAAGGTTCCAGACCTGGAAAGATTGCTGACGGTTGACAGGTCTCGGCGGTGTGCCTTTGTTCAAGAATTCCAGAGGGTGGCGAGGGTTTGTATTCTCTTCGTGCAGAAGGGGGTGGGAAGGGGGTGGCAGGTCTGCCGTCTGGGTTGGCAAAAGTGTGTAAGTGGGATGTCTGCGGGGGGCTGGGAGGCAGGGGAGAGTGACTTACATCGGCCTGAAAGAGAGGAGGTGTCTCGGAAGGACCCTGAGCCTGGGTAAACAGAGTCAGAAAAAAGTGAAAACTTCCTAAGAAGAAGAAAGAATGGATGGGTAAGAGGAGGAAGAAGATGGAGGGGAGAGGTGAAACGAAAGGGCACGAGGAGTAGGAGAAGGAGGGCAAGGCTTTGTTGACAGGCGAGGAGGTGAGGGAATTCGAGCGTGCCCAGTCAGCGTTCAGGTGATGGCCTGAATAGGCAAGTTTCTTATCTAATCGCTGCAGATGACACTTTTCCCCTCTTCTGCTGTGCCCTTTTTGCATCACCCTTAGGCAGACAAAACCAACCCAAGAGAAGCGAAGTAAGCTGACAAGCGGCAGATAATTTGTTTCTTCATGATCAACTTGAACAAGCTTTGATATTTGCCCATGATTCATCTAGATATGATGTGTCGTTTGATGGACACGACAATCGTCTACTGCGGATAACCCTTGAACCAGACTCGTACACAAAATTTGGGCATAGCCTGACGATCGAAGTCTCCGCATCCTATGGAAAAGTCGGTATGGCAATCCCTAAGACTGAATGAAGCACTGGTGTTGTACGATTCTCTTGGCCTCGGGGGGTACAGGCATTTTGAAGAGGTCATTAATGACAGCTGTGGTGTTATGTGTGGTGTTGTGAAGGAAGGGGTTGGGTGGTTGACTCAGACAGACCCTAGAAGGGGGCTCTCGCGCCCCACGGCTTACACGTTACACCGGGCTTGAAGCATCACAGGGTCTGAATCGTTCTGACCTAGGTGGGAGGCACACACCGAGACGGAGGAGGGCTACATTCCGATCGAAGGCGGGTTTTTCATCGTTTGACGCCGGCGTGATTGTTCCAACTTTGGACACCGTTAGATGACGTTTGTGGTGTTTTTTTCTGCGTCATTTGTCTGGTAGCAGAAAAAACCGTTGAGTCTGGGATATAAACTGTCAGCGCCCTCCAGTTCCGTTCTAGACCTCTCGAGACAGCCAAAATATACAAAACACTGCAAAGGGAACGAGAGTTTACCAAACTCAGCTCTGGAATTCATCAAGCCCAGCCAGCCAGCCAGCCAGCCACCTCGAGATCGAGTCCAGAAATTTAAAAACGCCACGCGAACCCGCCTACGATAATGCAGCCCACTGCCCTCTTTGGAATTCTGCTGCTTCTCTCTTCGCAAGCACAGGCCGCACCATCGTCGCTTCACTCTCACCTCCAGCGCCACAGAGAACGCGCCGCAACACACGCTCACTTGAGCCACCAGCACGCAAAGTTAAACAAGAAAGTCGAGCCAGTCGAGCCCGAACCCGAAGCGATGAAGACCTTCAGAGACATCGTACCACTATTTCAAAATCTCATCGCCACGCAAAAGCCCTCATCACCGTCACCCTATGTTGAGTCGACGTTGACGCCTCCTCCGTCTCCAAAGCACAATGATGCAGCATCAGACCATGTCGACTCAGACTCCGACGACTCACAGCAACTACGAGGAGTGAGGACGAACTCAGTCCGCGAGCAACAGACGTTACCTGACCGAGCTAAGCTGGCGGCGATGGGTCGAGGGCAGAGCCGCGTGAGGTCGGTCGCGGATATCGTCGACAGCCGGCATGCTGACTCTGCGATGCGTTTGCTGCGAGCTCACGCTGTTGTCAAGCATAACAAATTTCAGCGTGAGATTTGAGAGAGACCGTGATGGAAAGGCGTGTTTTCGAATGCTTGTATTTAGATTTGGCATGAGTTGGGCTTTGAGCAGCTATGGTCCTGGCGGCTGTTGACTAAGCCACCTGGTAGTTGTGTGTGCGCGGAATGATGAGATGAAGAAACCAAGCCCGCCGCGGGATCGGCGGGACGCGCGACGATAGCACTTGATGATAGGGCTGGCGATATTTTTAGAATGCAGAATAATACCACTTTTCGCCTATAATGGACGCTTGTCTTGATTTTCGAGGTGCCTTGCTTGATGTTGATCGTTGGCTGAGGCGAAAAACCTGCTGGACTTGTCTGAGAAGAATTGGATACAGAAATGCGATTGACGGTAATTGCGTCAGGTATGGGGATGAAGTTCTCCATCTGTTGCAGGGAAAGCTGGTAAGCGTGGGCGATCTGTTGGCGAAACCGTGTCAGCATCGCTTCCATATCCCTGTTAGCATCGAGTAACACTGTAACGGCGGGCTGCTCAAGTCTCTCGGAGACAAGAATCGTCTCGCCAGCAGGTTCTCAGTCTGAAGCGGCTAAAGAAACGTTGGCGGTTCGAGATGTCTCCCTTTCGTTATGACGGCATGCTGATGACCTTGGAGTACTTGGCACCTGGTAGGTTTATCGTCTTGACGCAGCCGCGGAACAATTGAGTAGATTGACGCTTGACAACCTGTCACTGTGATTTGTACACTGAGGCTCCGGCGAGGAAAAGAAGAGATGTGTTTTTGTTTCGAATCGAGTCAAGCCGTCCCGTCATGTTTCCTTTGCGCACGGAGAACGGCCCCACGATCCATCAGGGTGACGATCACCCGAGCCGTATAGATGCATAGAGATATACTGTTTTGAAGCTGCGTGTAGAGGCATTATGTACAGTATGGGTGATTGTTAAAGACGGTATTTCTCGGACCCACTGATTGGTGCATAAAGCCGGACCTCCACCGAAGCTGGCCTCCGATGGTGATGTGCAGATACGGGGTTCGAGGTACTTTAATCTTGGCGCGCTCAAGTGGCCCGGGTATTTTCCGTCGCGGTTTGGCTTCGGGGATTGGCGCACCTTAGCTCTTCCCCCGGGATGAGAAGTCGCCAGCAAAGCAGCATTTCCGAGGTATTGACGACCTGGCTCTTGCTGGCTTCATCCTACTGTATATTGTGTACCTTTTACTTAGGTACCACGTCTGTTCCAACCTGCCATCCTGCCAGCGCACTTGCAGTGGTTAGTCACGAGAGCCAAATTGTCGATCCCACTCCTACCTACCATAGCTCACCTACCATCTCCTTCATCCCCTTTTGACACTTCTCGACTTCACGATAGCGCGCGCGACGCCTACAACCACGCACCTCTTTCTCGACATCCGACAATTGACTAGCACTACACCTTTGCTTGCGATCACCAACGAGCCTTTGTACTTTTCGTGCCGTTATTGGGGAACTTCCTCTGGTCCATCCTGCCATCTCTCGCCGGCTTCGAAACGTCTGTTCAAAGCGCCCAATTGCTGGGGAAGCTCCGATACGCTTGGGCTTCTGCATCGTTACACAAAAGGGAGCCTCACATCGGCAGCCATTCCTCGATTTTGATCCCACCGCTGTCGACTCCCAGCCACCGTGGCATTCACCGACAAAGCCTTACGAGGGACGCACCGCCTGTTGTACCATCCTGCCGCTCGCCATTGACGTGTTTGCGACTCTCAGTACCGACTTCTCGAATCTGCTTCTCACGTCGCATTTAAATACCCTTGCAAGCGTCGGCCATTTCGCGACACAGAATCTTCGAGATGCCTTCGCAAAGGCAGTTGCGCACCCTCCTGGTGGGTGTGCTGATTGGTGTCGTCTTCGTGTTGTTTTACACATCTTCCTTGCGAGCGAACGAAGTCAAAGACGAGCGGACCATCCAAGATTTCTACCACAAGACGGTCAATGGACTGAAACACAAACAACCGCCGGGCCAAGCGGTGCTGGAAGGGAATAAGCCGAAGGCAGCTGGCCACGTGCCTGTTGACAAAGATGCCGATGGCGACGTTGACGCCGACGACGAGAAGCTCGCCAAGGATATGCAAGGACGCCTGAAGGCCGCCGAAGACAAGGCCAAGGAACTTGCCAACAAGAAATCACCACTGAAGCCTGATGCGCCTAGCGACGTCGTCGGAAAGGGCAACTCTGCTGCCGGACAAAAGAAGAAGGAAAAGACGGCCAATGGCAAAGAAGTCTCCGAGACTGAAGAGGAGGAGAAGAAGAAGGACGAGAGCGATGAGGAACATGCTGTCGAGGTTGAGTTGAACTCCATCTTGAAGAAGTCACCAGGTATGTTAACGTCAAGACTCGTGAAACGAATGCCAGCTAACCAGACCAAGTCATCATCTTTTCCAAGTCTTACTGCCCGTACTCGAAGAAGGCCAAGGCATTGTTGCTCGAAAAGTACTCGATCGAGCCCACACCATACGTTGTCGAACTGGATAAGCATCCTCTTGGCCCTCAGCTGCAGGCCTTCCTCGGCGAGAAGACTGGCCGGAAGACAGTTCCCAACATCTTGGTAAATAGTGTGAGCATAGGTGGAGGCGACGATGTCATCGAGCTTGACAGCCAAAAGAAGTTGGTACCCAGGATCATTGACCTTGGGCAGAAGAAGGTGGAGATGAAGGAACGGTCTGCCAACAGCCAGAAAAACAACTAGCTCTCTTGAGTCATTCAACTTTTATTTCTACATTTGCTCGACTTCCACCATATGGCATCATCGTGGGCGAGGCGAAGCGGGCATTAGGGAACCACGGGAGTTCGAACTGGTGGTGGGTACTCCAGTACTGGACATTGCATATTTTTGGCGTTGGTGATCGGTTGAGCTCGCGCGCTCTCGGCGGCGAGCACTCAAGAGGACGGTATGGGCTCTCGCCAGAGCCTGAAGGCTGGACGAAGCGTGCCGCAGACGACTGCGCAAGTTCCGTAATGATGAGGGACGTGTATGAGTAGTGTGGCTGAAGATGCTAGGGCGGCACTGGTAACCTGGCATCGCCTCCTTGTGCGGTTGTGTATACACGCAAATGGCTCGCTGTCAGCTTGTGTCTTGTTCTTGTGTGCTCCCAAACCATGGATTTTTGGCAACAGGCCGCCAAGATGTTGCTCCTCTTGTAGATATAATTATCATAAGATCACGAGCCTTCATGGAAGCCATATCGGCCAGCTTCTTTTCTGTAAGGCCGGGGGTTGGAGCCGACTTCCTAGTTGATTCTTTTCCCGCTTCGAGTTTGATTAGGATTCCCTCTACCGACAAACGCCGTTTAAGGTATAAGGATGACGGTACTGTTATCTTCGTTCCTCGGTACTGCTCCAGCTCAATTATCTTCTTTGAGTCCGGACCTGCTATTCTTATCAAGAGCCATCACTGAGGGGCAGGGTTGGATTGTGGTCGGAAGAGAGTGGAGGGGCTTAGCTATGCCCCTCCTTGCGCAACTGTCACGATGCGCCTCATATAGCTTGGCCAGACCAACCGGGTTACACAGCACCTTTCTCTAAACTGGGCCCATTCCGTGAATCCAAAATGCCGCACTAATACTAGAATTGCCCTCTTTGATGATCGCTGACACCATTTTTAGGACAGGGACGAAATCTGGGGCGGAGTGCGGCCTGTGTCGTCAAGTGAGAACCTGGATGGCCGATCGCGACGTCGTTCAAGGACAACCGGGTGCGCACTTGACTTGCACTTGCGATGCTATATCTCTGTTGCTTGGTCTCTTTCCGTATCTCATTTCAACTATTCAACTCTCAGATTGAAAGCTTTTGGATGATTTGCTGTGAACTGTGAACCACTGCTCTCGTCAACTATCTCATCTGAATCTCAACTTTAAAGAGCGGAGTGATTCAGAACACTCTGGGCCCTGACTACTTATACGCGAGTGGCCTACCTCTTACACACATTACCGCATCACGAACTCGATTCTCACAGAACATTCCATTTCAAATCACTTCAACTTCAATTTCTCGCATTTACTCTCACATATCTACTATTCACATACTCTGGTGCAAGCCTGAACACCAGAACGGCCAGGGTTGACAGCAAGGCCTAGGGCAGCAAGAGCAACGAAGGGGTCAGAAGTTTCAAGAGCGATACTGGCTTACCTCCTGCTACCTCTCCTCACAACCACACATCTCAGAGGGTCAGAGGGCAATCGCAGGCCGATCGAGGTTGTTTCGAAACCCCCTTGTTCATCCAACTGCGTTTTGTACAACCTCTACTCCAACATTCGCCTACAATACCTTACTACCATCTAAACCTTGGATAACAATGTCTTCACTCTTACCCGGCCACCTCCTCCTCCTCGTAGCAGAGCACGCAGACTTTGCCCAGATCCAAGCCCTCCGAGCAACCTGCAAGACCAACCGCGCCCTGCTGGATAGCTACCAGCACACCGTAACAAGAGTCAACACCGCCCGGTACCCCTGCCCACCACGCAACCACATCCTCGCCTCCGACACCCGCGAGCGCGAGGTGCTCCCAAAAGACACCTTTGATACCATCCGAGAGCTAGAGACGCGACACCGACACATTGAGGATATCGTCCACGGCTCATACCTCGCCTTCTGGGAGGAGTACGGGCTCCAGGACGCGAACAAGGCGGACACCATCCGCTCGAACCTCAAGAGAGCGCTCTGGCAGTGCTCGGCGATCGCCGACTTGGAGACGCACTCGATACGGTACAGGGACGACGTCGTCCCCCGCCGGGATCCTTGTGTGAAGTCGCTGATCCATCAGGAGATTATACTGCACGACGCGCCGCCACCCGATGGCTGGCACCTGGCTTTGAGGGAGGTCCACGAGTCTAACCGCCAGGATGTGCGGTTCCGTCAAATCGCCCACGTCCGCAACGACCTCTCTACACAAGACCTCGCGGGCATAGTAGTCCTCGCGCACCTCGCTAGTCAAGGGTATCGGAGGTACAGGGCTCCCACGACGAACGGGCTGAGCCGGCCTGAGGTTATCGAGATGGGCGTGTG